TCAGTTTTCCTTGTTACAGTAACTCCGTAGGTCTCGCTCATGTCCAACTCCTCTGGTTTCTTGCCATCCGGCAGTTTCCAGTCGAAGTAGAGGAGGAGCTGCGCCAAGGATAGGTGTACGGTGGCGAGCCCAAACTCCGTTCCAGGGCATATCCGTCTTCCAGCACCGAACGGCAAGTACTCGAAGTTACCTCCTTTGAAATCAACGGATTTACCTTCGAACCTCTCCGGCATGAAGCTCTCGGCCTCTTCCCAGTACTCTGGATCTCTGTTGATTGCCCATGCATTGACCAAGACTCGAGTGCCGGCTTCTATCTCGTAGCCGAGCACCTCACACGTCTTTCTACACATTCTTGGTATCAGGCTGACAGGTGGGTGAAGCCTTAGTGTCTCCTTAACGATCGACTTGAGGTAGTTCAGCTCCACGATGTCGGTCTCTTGTATCCTGTTCTTTCCCTTCAGCTCTTCCATCACCTCCTTCTGTGCTTTCTCCATTATCTTGGGGTTCCTCATCAGCTCCGACATGGCCCATTCGATCACTGCAGATGAGTTCTCGGTCCCTCCGAGTAACATGTCCTATAGATAGAATTATGGAATCGAAAGAGTTAGATAACGGAACACTGGTTTCATGTACATTGTGGACACTAACGACTATCACAGGAAGTAGCACTCACAAGCATCACAGCCTTTATTCCGTCCATGGTCATCGGAACTTCTAGTTCGGATTCATCTTTAAGCCTTAGTAGCGCATCGACTATGTCCTCCTCCACTTCGGCTACTTCCCGACCTTTGTTCATCTTGGCCTTAACCTCATGCTCCTTAACTATGTCATCTAAGATCTTGTCAAGCCTCCGGCGTATCCTGTGCAACTTGAACTTGGCTCCTGACAGGACGTGGAGGATCTTCAGCGACGGAAACATGTCGGCGGCATAGAACCCTCCCAGCACGTCGATGACCTCCCTGGCGACCAAGATGAACGTCTCCTGGTGCTTGCTTCGTGAACCAATCGCCACCCTGGATATGGCTGCGTTGGACATTCTGAGGAGCTTCTGTCTCAGGTTGATCGGTTGTGTTGCCGTGGAGATGTCTCGGATCAAGTAAAGGGTCTCTTCCTCCCTGATGGAGGCGGAAGACCGGATGCGCTTGGTTCGGAGCAGCTCCATGAAGCAGATGTAGCGCAGTTGCTTCCAGTAGGGGCCAAAGGGGGAGAAGATAACGTCGGAGCAACCGTAGAAGACGATATCTCCTACGACGAGCTCCGGCCGCGCGGCGAAGTTGGGGTCTTGGTTCTTCAAGATCTCTTGAGCGGTTTCCCGGGAGGAGGCCACCGCGAAGTCTACCCGGCCAATTCTGACAAGCATGAGAGGCCCGTAGGTGAGAGAGAGGCGGCGGAATGCGCGGAAGGGGATTTGGCCGGCCAAGTGGTGCATGCATCCGATGATGGGCAACCTCCACGGACCAGGGGGAGGTCGCGGATATTGGGCTTCGGACTTGCTGAATACTTTCTTGATGAAGATGATCAAGAAGAGCATGGTGGCTACCACAATGGAGACGGAAGCCAAGAGAAGATGATCCATGGAAATGACGCAAAAAACTTGGCTATTCGCTAGTACGTTGGCCATCGGCCGAAGCTCTAATATATAGATGCACGCTTATGTTTGGCAGGTAACCCTCCAGTGCGGCACGTGCAAGTGCTGAATAAGACAGTAAGGTCAATTAATCCACCTGTAGTTTATCTATCCACTACATGTTGATAAGGGTTGGGAACCGAATGGAAAAGG